CGAGCAGGATCAAAGAGGGGAGTGGTCCTGACCCGTGTCATTCAGATGAGATGAGAGTAACGTGTCCACACAACCCCTACATCTCTGTGGCTGAACAGGGCAGAGGCTTCCTTCCCGCTGGGGTATCCACCCATGGGGGGTGGGCGCTGTGGGCCCCGTGCTGCCACCCCAGAGCTGCTCAGGTCAAAGGGAGTGAGAAGCCCACACACTAACCCTGAGAGGCGTCCACCAGGAGTGACAGTGTCACCTCTGCTCCTGCGTGGGGAGCTGGAGCACGTGGCCTCACTATCTGAAGGGGCGGGGACACCCAGAAGAGGGTTCTGAGGGTCTGGGAGAAAAGTCTTGGCTTGGCAGAAGCTTCTGGAAAAGGAGATCCATGCTGAGGCTGCCTTCAAGCCCAGGTTGTCCGGGTGCCTGGGTGGAAGGGGGAGAGCAGACCCCCGGAGGAGGGGCGGGAAGGCCCACCCAGCCTTCTGACTGGAGGGGACCCTCAGTGCCACAGCCCCTAAGGGATGGGTGGCCTTGAAGTCTTGAAGACAGGAACGTTCCTCGGACTCCCCCAGGCTGTGGCAGTGCTACAGCAGGGGTCTGTGGATGGGGTGCAGCTGGGCCGCGGGAGACCCCGCACCCAGAAATTCCACTAACTCTAACAATGGACGAGCTTGCTCGCAGGAAGAGAGCCAAGAAACTGCAGCCAGGGTCACCGCCTGGGAGGGACAGCCTGGGAGAAGCAGGATGGATGCTTAATTTTTGCTTCCTCTAGCAATGCACATAAAATAATATCTTTGACTTGGATAAAAACTTCTGAGCGCGCCTCTCTGGTGCTAAGATCCTGCTGAGGCTGCGATTCCCCGATTCTCAGAGGACGCCCTGGGGGGTCAGACCCCCTCTGGGCTTGGGGCTGGCTTCACTCTGTGCTATGTGAGTTAACCTCACGGCACCTCCGTTCCCCAATGTGTAATCAAAAATCAACATACCTGTTCCCTCTGGAACATTCTAATACTGAGTAAGATAAAGTTTATCAGGCATCTCCCCAATGCCTGGCACCCCTGGCAAAGCCTTTCTCTAAACAAAGCCAGTGGTGACTAACCAGAACCTGCAGAGTTTTCCAGCCTGAGTCTGGGCTGCTGAGTCCAAGCCAGGGAGTTTCCAGATTCCCGGGAGGTCCCTGGGAGCCAGTGGTGAGCGCTGTGGGGGGCCAGGGCAGCCGGGTCCAGAGAGAGGGCAGCCCGACAAGGAGGAGCGGCTGCCCTGGCTGGGGCTCTGGCGCCCCCTGGTGGTCACATCCCTCCTCACACCCCTGGGAGACCAAGATGGACCATTTCATCAAAAACCTGATTATTTGGGGTTAAAAATAAAAGCATGAAGTATCGGGACAAGGTAGGGTCCTTGTGTCTGCTTTGGGGCCCTTGGCCCCATGTCCATCACTCGGTAGGTGTCTTGGAGCTCCTGACGACGCCACGTTCCTAACCACACGACCAGCGGCTGGGCAGGCCCCCGTGGCCTGAATGAGGCCTCCACGGCATTGCTTCACGTCGCCCTCCCACGCCTCCTCTGCTGCACTGTTATTATCCCCCTGTAGAATCCGGCGAAATGGAGGCCCAGGGAGATAAAGAAAGAGCAGGACGTGGCAGCATTTGGAGTCGGACTGGGCCCCTCTGGCCTCACTCAACAAGCACCTTCACCAGACTGCCCGTCCCTCCAGCCAGGGCTGGCCCCCAGGGGGCACCGAGCTGAGCGCTTTGCGTGCATGGTCTTCGCTCTGCCCACAACCTTTGGACATTATTTCCCCCATTTTTTAGGGTTGCCCAGGATCAAGGGGTCCCTAAAATTGACCCTAACAGTGGAAAAGCTTGCCCCCTTTACAGACAAGGACGACGACATTCAGGGAGGGCGATGTCACAGCTGTTAAACGTGGAGCCTACGGGTCTGACTTCAGATGAGGCCAGTGAACTAGGCTAGAAAGCCAAGGCTGAGCTGGCTCCACCAGCCAGGAGCAGGGAGAGAAATCTAGAACCTCAGGGCTGGAAGGCATGAACAGTAAGACTGCAGGGGCCGGGGGCGGGTGGGGGGGGCACCACAGCCCTCCCCCCTATGGGCTGAGTCTTTACCTTGAAATAGCTAGCTGCCCCTCAATGCCTCGTCTTTAAGTGGGGAATTATAGTCTCACAGTGGTGCTCACTCCCTCACCCACTAATTAAGTACCTGGCATTTGAGAGAGATTAACATGATAACATGAGTCACTGGGCCCTGAGTCCCTGGCACAAGATAAAGCCTGAATAATAGGCCGGAGAATCCGAACTTCCCTGGACTAGAAGACCAAACCTTCCCATGGGGGCTTGATAGTCTGCAGAGACAGGGAGCTTACTGCCGCCCCACACGGCCCACCTGTTAGCACGAGCCATTGCCGGTTCCTGTCTGTACCTCATCTGCGAACGCTGAATCTGTTGCTTGTTGGGCACTGCTCCGGGGACTTCAAGGAGAAACCAGCAAAGACCCAGGGGTCTCCAGACAGGAGACTGCTCTCATCTGCTCTTTGTCTGAGCATGTGTACCCCCACTTCAGGCAGCTCGTTTGTTCACGAGACAGCATCCTCCACTTGACCCATGGCTCCCACTCAGTAGCTAGCGTGTCCTTGGGGGAGTCACTGAGCCCCTCTGTGCTCAGTGTTCTCATCAATAGCATGAGAGTAATAAACCACTAACTCCAGAGTCGCAGGGAGATGAGATCATAGAATGTACAAGAGTTTAGCACAGAGCCTGGCACATTGCAGTGCTCAGGGTAAGCTATGACCATCCATCATCCATCCATCATCCATCCATCCATCAATCATCCATCTATCATCCATCCATCCATCCATCCATCATCCATCCATCATCCATCCATCAACAAGCACTGTGCTGTGTGAGACTCAACCTACAGGGAACAGCCCAGGGCAAAAGAAAAGTACCTAAAGTACCTCCCTGGTGGCGCAGGAGTTAAAGTCTCAGCGCTGTCAAGCTATCCAAACTATCACCAGCCACTGGGGCCTGAGTTCGAAGCCCAGCCAGGGATAAACCCACATGGCGCAGCAGACCTCTCCTGTCTCGCCCCCTACTCCCCTCAGCAGTGCATTTCAGATCTGCCTGTTCTGCTCCCCACTCTGTCTCTGGTGAATCCTCTCGGCCCCCCCACCTCTAGCCTACACCCCAGTTCTTGGATGCATAAATAAATCTTAAAAAAAAAAAAAACACCCGAAGACCCAAACTACCCCTACACATGCCTGTGCTGCAGTGACAGGACTGGCTCCCCGGACCAGATGCCACACCTGCCTGTCCCTCCATCTCCAGTGAACGGTGAGGGCAGGGGACCACCTCAGTGGCCCTTGGCTGGCGGTGACCCACTTGAGCATCTGCAGGCAAAGAGACCTTTCCTTATCGCCCACACTTCCCCCTTCCCTCTGATCCCCCCTGCCCTACCTCTCCGCCCCTGGGCCCACAGGCCCCAATCCATGTTAACGTCTGAACCCCCAAACCTGAGACTGACTGCATTTGGAGAGGTGACAATAACAGTGTGTCCCTTTCAAAACCAGCAGGCAGAGGGAGAAATCATGAGCAAGCCCGCCTCATCCCGCCTGGATTTGGAACTGGAGATGGGGTACAGGAGGGGAACAGAAGTTCAGAAACCTACAGAAGCCAGGGGTGAAGTGGCAGCACAGGGTGGGTGGTGGGGACAGAGCCAGGAGAGGTCCTGAACCGTCTGGCGGCAAGAAAGGGTTAGGGTTAGGCTGAGAATGCAGGCGCTGCAGGGTGAACAACAGAAAGCAGGCCCTGCTGGGGCAGCTCCCTAGGCCAGGCAGGGGCTCACTCAGCACCTCTCTGAATCGCCCCCGCTGCCCCGCGCACTGAGGAGGCTGAGCAGTCAGCGCAGGTCAGCAGAGGGGCCGTCGGGAGCAGCCAAGTCTGCAGGTTTGGATTTTAGCCACACCTGTGGGGATGGAGCAACATGGCAACTGAACCTCACTGGGGTAGGATTCTTGGGGGGCCTCGAGGAGACTTCCAGCATGAGTACTCCTGTGGGGGAGGAGCGGCCCCCACAGCCTCCCACTGGAGGGCACACCCAGAAGAAATAGGGCCAGCATGCAGTGCTCTGCTGGCTGCCCTGCTCCCCCAAAGCCCCAGGTCTTTCTGCAGCTGTTTCCTCTGCCAGGAAGGCCCTGGAAGCACCCCGCCCTGGGAGGTGCTCTGTGGGCCCCACCAGCCACAGCCGAGTAGTGGCTCCCAGCACCCTGCCGACACCTTGTTCCCCTCCTGTACCCCCAGGGCGGCTGCTCAGGGTGGCCGTCCTCCTGCACTGGCACCTGCAGGCCGGCACAAGGACTGTCCAGTGGCATGTAATGGAGGCTGCAAGGCGTGCGGGCTCAGGGACAGCTGGATTTGAACCTGCCTCTGCCCTCCCTTGCTGTGACACGAGCCTGAGGCTCAGTTCCTCATGTGTGGAAGGGAGATGCCCAATCCCAATACCCGCCACGGGACGGTCAAGTGCATCCAAGCTGACAAACCCGGGTGATGGGGTGGGAATCACTCTGCAGTCTCCACTGCCGAGACCGGGTGAGCCACTCAGGCTCTCGTCCCTGAGCAGCCACAGGGCCGCGGGCTAACGCTCGCTCCCCATCCAAATGCGGAGCAGGCGCAGACCTGACGGGTGCAGTGGCCGTCATCAGCCTCCGCCTGTGCAAGATGAAAGGTCTGAAGAGGAACCGGAAATGCTCGCGAGGCTCTAAGGTGGCTTCCAAACAAGACAAAGAGCTGCTCAGAAAGTCCTCCTCCAAATTATCAAAGGAAAAAACGGGCTTTGAACACCAGTGAGTCAGAGGAAGGCCCCTGCCGCCCCTCTCACTGCTCCGGAACAGGCAGGCTCTCCCAGCGGCTGGAATGGCTGCTCGGAAACACTCGCGCCTCAGCCGGCCGCCCGCGCGCCCATTGAGATCACGCACGACCGACGAGCGCTCCGCTTTCACACGGCGGTCACTTTTAAACACTCTCCGCTAAATGGTTAGTGTGAAATGTTCAACATACTCTTAAATATCCTAAAAACAAAATTTGCTCTGTGAATTCTGGTTTTTTAAGAACAAAAGTATACTTATTGGTATTTCAGCGAAGCAAAATGACCCAAAAACCGGCCTCGCTGGTTTCCTCCCGTCCTGCAGTTTCTAGCGCTTTCTAGCACGGAGGCCGCGCCACTCGCTGGGTCATCCCTCCTGATTCCCCGTCGGCTCAGCTCGGGCATGCAGCAGCACTCACCCATTCTGTGGGAGCCCGGCACCCCTGCTTCCGTCCTGTGGGCTGAGGACGCCTGGAGAACAATGTCCCTGAACACTAAACGCCACCTGGTCCTTCCTGGGCACGTCACCGGAGTGTTTATTCTAAACACGGCCCGACAGTCACTCCCGCTCACAGAAGAAACAGCCACAGAAAGGTTCAGTGACCCCAGCCAGTCTGACAGGACAGCAAAACCACATGCCAGGCTGTGGGACACGGAGGGGTCAGGCTGAGACAAACTGGCCCGATGCTCCGCTGCGGACCCCGAGCGCAGGAGCGAAGAGCCCTGCCCACGAGCCCAGTGGCAGATGCAGGAGCAGTCAGCCAGTCTGGCCCCACAGCCTGTGCCTCCCACGCCCCGGGCCTGCTGCCAGGGCAGGACGGGGTGGGGGGGGCGGGCCTCCCGGGTCAGAAGCCACAGCCGTCACACACCACGTACATCTTTATTATTGCAGTCAATGCCAAAGCACACTTCCCGGGTCTGCAGCACAGGGAGGCGCATGGAGCGGCAAGGTGAGCAGAGCGCCGCCTCCCCGCAGGGTCCCTCCGGGCAGGGCAGATCAGAGCGGACAGAAGTTCCAAGATTGCCGGCGACGGCGTGGCGGGGCCGGGCACCCGCTCACTTGAGGCGGTAGAGCATCTTGCGCTGCAGGCGGTGCTGGACCTCGCCCCGCCGCAGCATGAGCTGCAGCACCTTGTGGATGGCGTGCTCCGGGTATTTCTGCGGGACAAGGCCAGATCGTCTCCCTGGCTCACAGGGAGCCTCGCCGCCCCGAGATTCCCCCGCCTGTGTCCTTGGAGCCTAAGAAGGGCTCACGCTTCCTGAGGGCCAACTACCTACCCAGCACCCTTCTCAGTCCTCAGACACGTTACTCATTCCGCCCATCCCCACAACAACCCTGTGCGGCCGGAACGGGATTATACCCGTTTTACAGGAGTGGAAACTGGGACACAGAGGCCAAGTCACTTGCTGAGGTCACACAGCAATTAGGGTAAGAGTTGGGACTTTCTGACTCTAGAACCCAAGCTCCTGACACCCTAAGCCTCTCCAGGCCTCGGTCTGCTCTATGGGCACTCCACAGAGCCACTCCGTGGAACCGCTCTAAGGAGTAAAACGAGGTGATGTATGTGAAAGGGAGCTGAGACCTGCCAATGGGCTGTTCCTATGATCTCAAAGTGGTGGAAGGCCCCTCCCCTCACTGCAGGTTGAGAGCCAGCTGCCCTCCCCGATAAAGGGACAGCGAAGGCACAGCCACCCAGACCGAGCCCCAAGGGCAAGAATGGCAGGAGCAGGTCTGCAACGGGGAACAGGCCCCACAGGAAGGCCCACCTGCTTGGTGAAGTCCTGGATGATGCTGTGCTCCGACACCTGGGAGCCAATGGCAAAGCGGCGTTTGAGCTGCTTCTCGATGCGGCTGAGCATCTCCTGGTCCTCCTGGCTGGTGAAGCCCTCCACCCCTGTGGGCACGAGGACAAGGCTGAGCTCAGCATGGGGGCCAGGGGTTCACGCGCCCACGGTGGGAGGGTGGGAAGTTGGGAGCGACGGGTCTCTAAGCCAAGGAGCAGCGGCTGGAACCAGGCCAGAAGGAAAAACCAGAGCAAGAAGAAGGGTGTGCCGGTCCCAGCAACGGCCACCTGAGGGGACGACTGAGCAGAGCTGAAACCAGAACCAAGGCCAACATGTGGGGGGAGGCCACCACAGCAGGGGGAAGCGCAGGGGCGAAGGCACGAGGCAGTAATGCTGGAGTCAGTCAAATCCCAGTGCAGGGGACCAGAGGGCCAGAGCGGAGACCAGGGCCCAGGGCTCGGGGGCCCCTGTGGGCCACAGCAAGGGCTTTGCTTTGATTGTGGTGAGAGGAGCAGCCACTGGCGGCTCTGAGGACACAAGCTGACTTGTGAGGAAGTGGTAAGGCAGCAGGGACAATTTCCTGGACACCTCAAATGGAGAGCTGAGGGGGCCATCAGTGAGTGACTAGGAGGAAGAGCAGCTGCTGTGGACACATCTGTGAGGGAGCTGGGACAGCAGGAGACTCGTGACTTGTAGCTACTGCTAAGGGGTGCACCTCCCCTGCCAATCAAGCGCTGCGTAATGAGATTTCAGGCAAGGCGCAGGTGAGATCAAGGACAGGGAAGCCAGGGAGACCTCAAGACTCCAGTTTGAAGCAGAAGTCTGGAGGTGAACTCCGACAGCCTTGCAAGGCCCTCGCAAATGTCACCACCCCAAATCACACCTGTCTTCCGGGCCTTCTGCATCCCCAAGACCTGTCCACGAGCAAATGTCTCGTATGAAGGGAGCCCCCGGGTCCAGGACTGAGTCTTCAGAAGCTGGGGCAGGGGTACAGGGCCAGGCCCCAGCCAGTCCTTTCCCAGAAGAGATACTTTTCCTCACTTCAGTCCCTGCTGAAAGGCACCTCCTCGGGAGGCCTCCCTGACTGCCCACTGGGGGGCAGTATACACCTGGCCCCTCTGGACTCCCCACTCAGTTTGCTTGCTTCTGCATGGGCCTCCTATCTCTCCCCAGCCTGAGTGAGAGCCCCCCTGGGGCAGAGACTAAGATCTGTTCACTTTTACAACCCCAGCACCTCAAGCAGGGCCTGGCACATGCAAGCACAAGCTGTGAGAAGGAATGGGTCGCTCCAGAGGCCTGCGTGTGACCAGGCCCAGCACGTCGGCTGGAGCAGCCAGTGCGACCTAGTTGGCCTGGGGGTAGAGAGCCTTACTTCCAGCTACGCTACCAGTGAGCCACGCACTTTGTCACCTTCTGACCCCTAAGACAAGAAGGGCTCAGGGCCCAGACCGGCCCACAGGGCAGCCAAAAGACAAACGAGGGAAAGGCCTGGCGGCACTGAGGTGACTGTGAACACGCTCATAGCATTAGTATGGCCACAGATAACGCAGAGTCAAGATGACCAGGGGAAGGTGAGCAGAGAAGGGGCTTCCTCCCCTCTTGAGGAAAATGATGAGCAGCGGAAACAGGGAGTGGGGCTTATCAGGAGGAGCTAAGAGACGATCGGCAAAGGCAGAGAAGGAACAAACACTCCAGCTCTCAGCCCACCGCATGCAGCGTGCTGCTCACCTGAAAGGGTGCCCGACAAGGCGGCGTCCAGCGTGGACACTTGGAAGAGCCTCAGTGCCTCCTCCACGTCTGCCTCGGTAGCAAAAGGTTGCAACTTCATCTTGCTGAGGGACTCAGCGATGCGCACAATGGCCTCCAGCTGCCTGCGTGGGAGCAACAGGGACACCCCGAGAGGGGCTTAGCCCATCCTCCCCCCCTAGCCGACCCCCTCAGGGCAGTGGGACCCTAGGGAAGACTATGTCTGTGGCATGACCCAGCTCCCCTCCTCCTCAGGCACGGAATCCTGGCTCTTATGCCAGCACGTGGCACCAGTCGCTCTTGCGCCTAGGGGAGTGTGGCTAAGGTATGGCCAGTAAGCCAAGCGTCCACGTGAGGAACACTTCACCAAGTGTTCTTAAAAGGTGGGCCCTTCATCCCTTCCTCTCTTGCCGCCTAGAAAGCAGAGGTGATGGCTGGTTCCGGCAGCCCTCCTGGATGCTGAGGACGGGGTGAGGCTGGGGGGAATCCAGGTTGCTCAAGACACACCAACCCTGGATCACCTTACCTAAGAGACAAACTCCCCATTTACTTCAGCTACAGGACTGGGTTTCTATCACATGTGGGGAGGTCACTTCTAACAACCAGGGCTGGAGGCGGGATCCCAGCCACGGGACTCGGCCTCACTCTAGTGCATGTACCCACAAGAACGAGGAGAGAAGAGCTAGAATCCAAGGCCCAGAGAAGGAAAGTGATTCCCTGCAGCCACACAGTGTGCAGGACCCAGGACTCCCGCCTCCCGGCCCTTCCCCTCACCAACAGGGGAGTATCAGGAAGGACCTGAAAAAAAGGTTCTGGCTTTTCTCAGTCTTAACCCCCAAAACACAGCTCATCAGGGAAGCCACTGTTTACACTTCATAGGGCTCCTCCCTGCCCAGCACACTGGCCACCAACGTGGTCAGCATCAGCGCCTGGCCCCGCGAGCAGGTGTGCCTGCTTTGTGTGCAAGGCCCAGCCCGGCCACCTGCTCACCTCACGGTGATGGGGATGCTGGAGCGCCGGTCGATGTCCCGCTCGTGCTGACGGGCCCCGCTGCGCATGATGATGTACCGGTTCTTCAGCTTCTCCGCAGCCTCTGCCGACAAGCGGGGGCCACACTTCCTGCAAGACAGTGGGGAGCAGCTGCCCTGAGGCCAGAGAGGAATCTTGGGGCACTACCCCCGCCCCCGGCCTTCTGTCAGCTTGCAGCACACCACAGCCGCCTGCTCACCCAGGCTGGGGGCCACCAGACGTGAGAGAGGTCTGGGCTGTGAGCAGGGGCCAGGGAGTGCAAGATCGGGGGAGACCAACGGGGGACTTCAGTGGAAAACACCAGGCCTGTCGGTGGGGTGAAAACGGCCCCTCCCAATGGCCAGAGATGCATGGTGCCTGCGACAAGGCAGGCACTGGCCCCAGGGAACTAAGCACGGCAGCACCACGGCCCAGCGGACAGAGGGCTCCCAGCACTCCCACCTCCACACTCAAGGACAGGATGCCCGAGACGGAGCATGCGGACAACCCCAGGAGGCTCGGCTGTGACTGCTGTCCAGGGGCAGGGAGCACACTGGATGCTCTCGGGAGGGAGGTGGCAGTGGGGTGTCCAATCAGGACCTATTCCCAGCCTGTCCCCTCCACCTGCGTCCCCCAATGGGAATCATCTCTAGTTTAGGGGAAAGCCTTAGCTCACCTAACCCAACCCACATCCGGATACCGAGAAAAAGGGCCAGAATCTAGAGCCTTCAACTCATACGCAGGGACCCACGCCTCTGAGGACGGGCACAGAAGCTTGGCACCATAACAAAGACCCAGCCCAGCAGGACATGGCTCGGCCATCCCCGGGGGAGAGGCTGACTCAGGGCCTGCCTGCTGCAGAGCTCCAGCTCCATCACAGGGGCACTCAGTCCTCCACGCCCGGGTTGTAGCTCCAACAAGAGACACAGAGGTGTATGCCCAGAGTCTTGGCACAGTGGCTAAAAGCACAGCCTCTGGAGCCAAGGTCTCTGGGTTCAAATCCTGGCCCCACCCCATCTGTGACTTTGGACATCCGTAAACTGGAGTGATATCTCAGTCTTGTAGGTTTTGGGGACAGCTAGAGTTTATCTGGAGGTAATACTCAGAGTAACAGCTGGCACAGAAGAATTACTACCTGTCTGGTTACGACCACCGGCATCTATGAGAATAACAATTCAAATGGCAGCTGCCACTTACTGTGTGCTGCCTGGGTACAGGGCTATGCCAGGCACTTACTCATCACCCTGTGTAATCCCAACAAAAGCCCAGGAGACACTGGCTCAGAGATCAGTGACTGGCCCAACGCCACACTGAGGGAGACACCGCCCAGAGCCCCTATGCACAATGACCACGCTGCTGCCTCCCACACTTCAGGCAACAGGGTTTCCAAACCCCTCTCCCACTTGAGAGCAGGGGAAAGTAAAGCCATTGCAGCACCGTGCAAGATCAGAGAGGCTCGGCGCCCATTCAGTAGCCACAGCCCTGGTGGCCAGGATTCTTTCCCACCCAAGGGCACAGGGCAACCCCACCCCTGGGCCTGCATCCGGGACTCACGCTCGGCAGTAGGCGATGAACTTCTTCAGCTTGGCTAGGTCGATCTCGCCCTCCACAGCGGGGGTCTGTGTCAGAGCACTCACATGCAGGGTGATGACGTGCTTAGCCAGCATCTGGAGTAGAGGAGACCCTGGGTCAGCCAGCGGGTCTTCCAGAGCCTGACTCTCTCACAGATTACCCCCGAGCTGCCAGGGCCTTCTCTACCTCCAAAGGGGAGCAGCTGCTGAAGAACAAGCCTCCCCCAAAGGAGGTAAGCAGAGCAGCAGGGGTGGGGGAGCCCAGTGCCACTGAGCCCAGAGCCCACCCCGGACCCAGACCTGCCAGGGCTTGATTACACGAGCCATTAAGGTCCTCTCCAAATCTACTAAGCAGAACTGAGACTCCCCTACTTGCACTGACTCCCTGTTTCCTGAACAGAGACAAAGGCCCAGAGAGTGACCCCAAATCACACAGCCTGATACCCATAGCAGAGTCAGGACCCCTAGTCCAGCCCTCGCTGCAGTCCACAGGCCGTCTCCTGGGCCGCTCGGTACCCACGCAGCCCGATGGCAGCTCTTCCGGGCAAGACACTTGCTCGCCACCGCCAGAGCCGCAGGTGTGCACCACCCAGCCCCACCTACCACATCCCGCTCCTCATTGTGCTCGTCCTTCACGATGAAGATCATGTCAAAGCGGGACAAGATGGTGGGCATGAAGTCGATGTTGTCCTCCCCCTTCGTCTCATCCCAGCGGCCAAACACCGAGTTGGCAGCGGCCAGGACGGAGCAGCGGGAGTTGAGGGTGGTGGTGATCCCGGCCTGTGGAGGGGCAGGGAGGTGACATGGACGCCCGCTCTCCCGCACACGGGCACACACACACGCCACCACACAGGCACAAACACAGAAGAGACTGCAGGGGCACCACTGCTGCCACTAGCAAAGACCTGGGCACCCGCACTCAGCCCCACCACTCAGAGCTCCTGAGGAGGCCCCCAGCCCCCCGACACAGCTGGACTATGGCCAAGGGCTGAGCAGAGAGGGCCGCCCACCTTGGCAATGGAGATAGTCTGCTGCTCCATGGCCTCATGGATTGCCACACGGTCATCTTCTCGCATCTGCACCGGGGGAAGAAACGTCCATTGGGCTAGGTGAGGGGCGCAAGAGCCATGGCAGCAGGAAAACAGCAGCCGGGGCCTTTCCCAGGCCAGTGGCAGGAGGTGGGTGACCTCTAGCCACTGTGTGGGCTCCGCTCTCCTCTCCCACTCAGCAGAAGTGGAAACCGAGGATGGGGAGTTAGGCTACCTCCCCAAGTTACCCTTTGGTGACAGATTGGGGGGAATTGGCACCAGTCCCTGATCAGAGAGGGTTCTGCTGTCCAAGCACAGGAGGTCACACCCCAGCCCACGGCCCCAGGTGCTACGTCCTCACCTTATCAAACTCATCAATACAGACAACCCCTCCATCGGCCAGGACCATGGCGCCACCCTCCATGATGAAGTTGCGGGACGAGGGGTCCCTCATCACCGAGGCTGTCAAGCCGGCCGCGCTGCTGCCTTTGCCAGACGTGTACACCTGGGGAGAGGGAGGTGGTGCCGGCCCCTTACTGACCCAGTAAGGGGGTCCCACTTCAGGTCACACCTCAGAACCTGTCTGCAGAGCACCGATCTCCTCCCTCTGGAGCGCCAATCTCCTCCACTCAGCCCCCAATTGGCCCAGAGGCGCACCTGAACCCCCCAGTGCCCTGGGAAGCAAGCCTCAGGGGCCCGGCTCACAGACTAGCAAACCAGTGACCTTTTGAGTTGCGCTCTGAGCTGGGACAGGGAGGACTCCTAACTCTGTTAGCCCCCATGGTGTCAGTATAGCCCTGCCTGCCACGTGCTTCCGCAGAGCTCTGGAAATGGGGCAAGTCCAGAGTGAGGTGCGCTAAGTGTGAAGTACACCGGAAAGTACCTCACTGATATTATGTAAGCCAAACGTCTAAGGAACATTTTAGAGCTATTGGGTTAAAGAAAATACTATGTTGGCTCTTGTTTCTTTCACCTAACACGGTTACGGGAATATTTAAAATCCCCTGTGACACAGCTGCAGTTTACAGGGCATCCTGGACAGCAAGTCCTTCATCCAGATGCCTGGATGGCCCTGTCCCACTGACCAGGCCCTCCTGCTCCCCGCGCTCTGACCCCGCCACCCTCTGTCAGGGCAGAGGACACAGCCCGCCTGCTGCACAGCAAGACACTGGGTCACATCCCTATGCGAGTTCTTACTAGCCGTGGGACCTTGGGCAGGACACTAAGCTGTTCTGTCCCAGTTTCCTCCTCCATGAAAGGGGGCCACCACCTAGCACACCACGCAAGCACTGACAAGCAAGCATATGAAGGCCATTCAGGCAGCGCCTGGTCCTTGCTTTAGCAATGCCTGTCACCAACACCGTGACTGAGCGGTGGCTAACTTGACTCAGGGAGATCAGGGCACATGCTGAAGGTGCACAGGCACCTGCTGGCCAGGCTGAGACCTGAACCCTACCCTGCCCCTCAGGCCAGCACTCTGCCGCCGCCCGAGCCACACACACAGGTCAGTCCCCTTGCTCCTCTCTGCCCTCCTGAACACAGGCACGAAGAATGAATAAGAAGGTTCTGGGTAAGTCGGCCCACCAAGGGAGGGTGCCCAGTGGCCCTGCCTGCCAGCCTTCCTCCGTGAGGGGCAGCCAAGGGGAGCGCATCTGGTGCCGGGCACTCACCCCGATGGGAGAGCACTTCTCCACAAACTTCAGCAGCTGGGACTTGGCCGTCCCCGGGTCCCCCAGCATCAACAGGTTGATGTCTCCTCTGCGGGTGAGTCCATCGGGGAGCCTGGGTGGGACAGGCAGGTTGGCAAGGCAAGAATCCAGAAGAGCTAGGACTCATGCTGGTCACCAGAATGGTGGGCTCCCCAACCTATGGTGGTCCTCAGAGCTAGCAGAATCAGGTCTGGGCAGAGTGCACATTCACACACAGCTGTGACCCCAAACTGCACCGTGGCTGGCCTGCCTCCCAGGGAGAGGTGAGTGCCAGGGACACTTAGGGGGCTTGGGCACATACACCAAATAGCCAATACACACCCCTCACAGCTGGAGAAGTTGGGGAGCTGCCAGTGGGCTGTGCCCAGTATGACAGGGGTGGGATGGAGCACGAGGGGGAGCTCCTAGCACCACCCCTCTGCCTGTCAGCAAGGCCCTGTAGCTCTCTATGCCTCAACTGCCATCTATAAAATGCACAGCACATCACAGCAGTCTCGCAGGGCTACTGGGAGAGTTGGCTGGTTTCAAATACACAAACACACTCTACGAATTTCTGGAGGTGCTCATATTGGAATCTTCTATACCTCGAACCTTCGTTTCAAATGAGCACGTGATGTCTTTTGAGACTAGGATCTCTCACTTATGTTTGCACGGCAAAAAAGTAAGAGAAAGAGAGACTGAATCTGGTCTCCAAGCCCAAAGCTCAAACACTGCCTTCGCCAGGCCCCCACAACTGAGATCAGGGATCGCTCTAGGGGCGAGTGCTCGGACTAGCCACCAGGCAGCCGGCAGCAGCCCAGGACTTGGGAAAGGTGCCCACGAGCCAAGTCTGGGCGTCTGACAATTGACCTCCTGTGGGGTGAATCCCCTACTCTTGCCCTGCCCCAGGGGGCATGAACACCCACCTCTTTCGGGAACCCCCAAAGAGCAAGCAGGCGATGGCCTTCTTCATGTCCATGCCCCCAAAGATGGAGGGGGCGATGCTCCTGGAGATGAGCTCATAGAGGTTGGGGAGGGAAGCCAGGCGCCGGAACTCCTCCTCCTCCTGCGGGGTCACGGCCCCAGTGAAGCTGCGGCCTGGGTGGGCAAAGGACGAGGAGCTGAGAGCTGAGGAGAGACCCTGCTCCAGTCTGTGGCCAGCACAGCAGGGGAAGGTCCCCCGGAGGGAGGGCCCTCAGGGACAGACAGGCATAAATGCGCCCCCCCTCAGGAGTGGGTGTGGGTGTTGGAGTGGGGCAGAGGGTCTGAGGAGTTAAGAGTGCTGATCTCGGGGATCACTGGGGAGTTTCTATCTCAGTTGACTGACATGGTGTCTGGTCACCACAACCCTGGCTGCTGTGCAGGGCAGAGTGAAGGGACAGGGGTAGACGGGCAGAGCAGGGTATAGGCGCACCAGCAGCCCACGGGGAAGCAGGACCAGGCAGGGGCTCGAAGCCAACTCACCAGAGCCTTCTGTGTCCACCTGGATGCCCAGGACACGGATGTAGGAGCTCCGGATGCCGACGCCCACCCGGTCCCGGCCCCGGCTGGAGGTCAGGCCGAACTTCTTGATGGAGTAGATGCCCATGATGGTCACCCTGTTCCCGGGGACCACCTTGTCACACAGGTACCTGACGGCAGGGAAGAAAGAGAAAAGGAGGTGAGAGCCTGTTGGGGACAGCAGGCTACGAACCCCAGTCAGGATCTCCAGCCCAGGCCCTCTCTCCCTTTCCAACTTTCAGCAAATCCCATGGGAGAAACTAACAGGCAGTCTGGGGCAGGGGTATCAGGCTGGGTCGAGGCTCTGCCAGCTGCTGGCTATGCAGCCATGCACCTTGGGTTCCCCAGTGTTAAGATAGTGAGGAGACTGTCCCAGGAGGAACACAGGCTGGAAGCCAGGCTGCTCCCCTCACTACATCCCTTCCCATAATCTGCAGGGGCCTCCATTCTGCAGGGGAAGAAGCATGTAGGAAGACGAGGCACAGAGCAATCATTCCATAACTAGCTGTCCCCGCTTCCCTCACCCCCCACTCTGCAAGCTCCACACCCACACCCGATCTAGGGATGCAGCCAAGAACGCCCACCCTCAGGGATGCCCGTCCCCCCAACCCTGCCGCCACTCACCGGTCGCAGTAGAGCTGCATGTGTCTGGGCATCTCACCGTGGGGCACCGCGTCAGGGAGCTCCTGCAGCTTCAGGGTCTGAAAGTCCACGCACTTGCACTTGTCGGGCATGATGAAGTATGGGTCCAGAGGGCAGCTGGGACGCCCAGCCTGATCCCTGCACAGGGGAAGGAGAGAGGGTCACCAGAGTGACCCTGAGAACCCAAAGGCTGGGGAGTCCATCGCAGGAGGCAGGGCCAGGAGCAGGAAGTGAAGGGTCTCCAGGATCGGCTGGAAGAAGGCCACGCCCTCCGCCCAGCAGGCAGCATATGCAGTGTCCTCACCCCGGCACCCCCAGTCCATGTCCGGCCTCCGCCCCTGGAGGGGCCTCCAGGCCCACTCACGTGTTGCATTTCCTGGGCAGGGCGTAGCCCTCCAGGCCAGGGCGCATGGCGATGTTGGTGAGGGTGTTGCGGCAGCTGCGGCACTGGATGGAGATGCGGGTAGCCTTGGCACGGACCCCGGAGGCCGAGATGATGATGCCGGGGATCTTCACCAGGTGTGACATCATGTCGGACTGTGACAGAGCATCGGGAGGGTGAATGGGGGGCCGGGAGCCCGAGATCATGCACTCAGTGTTTAAGAACAAACACTCTAATTTCCTTTAAAATCATTACAGGTACGATGTTGACAGACACTAAACCTACATGAAAGAATGGGCAGTTCATTAAGCTCTATTCTTTCTACGGGGGTGTCATTTTTTTATGAGCAGCAGCAAAACAAGAAAATCTCTTTCCATCGTCTTTCCTCCCATTCCCAGTGTGTTTTCTAGAACTGATAGGCAGGCCACACGTTCACATCCCCGTCCTCCTGGAAGTCTAGGGGACAAGAGGAAGAAAGAGGCTGGCCCCTCTGATAAAAGAGGCCAGCGCCTCGTGTCCTGCCACGCCGGGCACTGGACTGCAGCAACAACCCACAGACCCATAGGACATGTGTTTGGAAAACTATCCACAAAGCTGCGGGTCTCCAAGTCCCACCAGATCCAGAGTTGGAAGGATTGGGGTCACCTCAGCTCCACTAAGCCATCCCTAATAAGTGATCCTTCTGGGGGGATCCTCTCCACTGGAAACTCATTGTTCCATGCAGGCCATTCACTATGTTGCCAATGAGTCTGGGAGTGGAAGCTGGTCACTGGGGGGAGCCAAGGTTGGCCTCTCCGCAGGACGGGTCCAGTGCAAGCTGCTCGTCCCCACACCACACATTTACACACATATCACCCCCTCCAACTAGCTGCCCACACACTATCATCACCCCCTGGGCTTCTCTTCTTCACTGCATCCATGACCCTGAGCAAACTACTGTGGCGATGCTTCCGGGTTTATTGAGTCTTCCAGGTCAATACAAACTCCTTGGGGCAGGAGGTTGTCATTCAGTTGACCGTTGTTTCCCCAGGACCTGACTCAATGCCTTGCCATAGGAGAAGCTCAGGGAATTTGTACAAGGGAGCTCATTTCAGAGGAGGAAACAGGCTCAGAGAGGTTGCGTGCACTACTCAGTCACACAGCAGGAACCTAGGTCTGCCCATCTCCCTGGCCCCCAGCACCGTGTAGCAGCCAACACCACCCTCGACGGGGCTTCAGCAGACCCACCTTCAGGCTGCGAATGTTGGACGAGCTGGCATCGGACCTGAGCATGACCTGGATGTCCTGCAGCACCTCCTCGCCAGTGGGCCGGGGCCGGGTCACCTCATCGGCCACCTCCTTAGCAGCTTCCTCCAGCTGGAAAGGAGGAAGAGCACAGGCTTAGTGACCTGAACAGAGAAGGGAGTGTCCTGGGGGCAGGGCAGGTTCAGAAGCAGGGGCCACTCACCAGCTGCAAGTGCTCTGCTGGCTGCTTGTATAAGTAGTCGGCCAGGTCCTCGTCGAAGCTGGCCAGGTCCTCCATCTCCACCTCCACCCAGTACTCCCCCAGGTTGTAATGCCGCTTGAGTTCATCTCTGGAGGGGGCAAAAAGGAAACCAGCACTGGCTGAGGTGCACCTAAACCTGGAATCTGCCCACATGGTCACCACCACTCCTCTGCCGGAACACACTGGCATTCCAGGGTGTGCTGCTAGTTAAGCTTGCAGAGACTCCTTCCTCTAAAGACAGGCCCGGTGGAAGGAGACGATGAAAGAGTCAACAGCATTTCAACATTCAACAGGTCAGTCTCGGAGAGAGTCTGGCTGCAAACCAGTTCTTTCATTCCTTGGATCCTTAACCCTCTCACATCTTAGACAGGCAAACACCTTGAACATTTCAAGACAGCAGAGACCACATTGGTCTTGTCAACCATCAGGCAGGCTCTTGTTCCCAGAAGACTTCAAGGGAGGAGACACTGGCCTCCCCACAGCCTGCTCCTCAGCCTCAACCCATATGTCCGGAGCCATGTCAAGTGGCAGTCTGAGCTAGCGAGCCCCCTGTTGTACCCAGCCACCCCCTTCCTCTGCCCACAAACTGCTTCTGCCGGAAAGACCTCCACTGAGGCTCTTCCCTCAGCTCAAGGACCGCCCCAACCCCAGTCCCTCTGGAGCAATGACCAGGTCATTTACGTCTTGGTCTCCACGCCTCCCTCCCACTGAAGTATAAGCTTCCTGAGGCCCAGCAGGATGAACCTTGTCATCTTTGCATCTCAGTGCTTGGCACAGAGCTGGGCACACAGATGGTTGATGGAGGCAGGAATGCCATGCCATTTTACTGATGAAGAAACTGAGGCCCAGAGAGACAGTTGCCTGGAAGTCGCTCAGCTAGTAACTGGTCAGGCCAAGCCTGACCCTCAAACTTGCGTAATCTCCAGTGTAAGGTCCCAGGGGGAGGCCGGCCTGAGACCATGTGCCATGACGCCGCAGGTGGCACAGGAGCAGGGCTCTGGCCCCTGTCCTTCAGTGCGGCGCCTGGCACTTGGCAGCAGCAGGTGCCCTGTCCACCTAAGTCACAAGTTCCAATGAATGGGGGAAGGGAATCAAACTGCCGTCTTCACTTTTTGCACCCACAGGTGGCACGTTTACTGGGTTATCAGGGACATTACATGAAAGCAGCAGCAGCTGACGGACGGGAGCAAGACTCGATACCGAAGGGTCCAGGTGTCTCTAGCTGGTTGTTGGGGGCTCCCTCCACAGGTGACTGGGGCCAACGTTAACTTCAGGTATAAAATGCAGGCAACAAGGGGGTGAGTGGGGTGGCTTTGAGGGGACAAAACACCACTGGGTCACGCTCCGGGGGCCCCGGGAGGGCTCCTTCACCGCCGGCCGGGTTTTCCCACCTGTGCTTGGACTGTCCAGTCACCAAGGGCCCGGGGTGAAGCCGCGCGGCCAGCCCCGCCCCAGCCCGCACCTGTATTTGAAGGTGAAGCCGGTGCGGTCGGTGCCCACCCGGTACTGCCGCAGGAACTCCTTGAAGCGCCTCTGCAGCTGCGACTTGCGGGCCTGGCCCTCTTCGGCCGCGGGGTCGCCCCCGAAGCTGTCGCTGTAGAAGATGCCGGGGTCGTCGAAGCCCGACATGACTGCACCTGGCGGGGGGACAAAGAGCTGGCGCAGGCCGGGCGCCCCGCGCCCCCCCGCGCGGCCTGGGTCCGCCTGTCAGGAGCTGACGGGCCGGCGCGCTGCCCCCCGGCCCCGGCCCGCGCCCCGGGAAAGCCCTGCCGCTCCCGCCCCCCGGCGCGGACGCCCGCCCACCCCCGTGGGGCCGACTCCCCGGCCTCGCCGCGCTCACCTCCGCTCCCCCGCGCGCCACCGAGCCAGAGGGGTGAGAGCCCCACGTTCCGCCGCCGAGTTTCGCGGGGAAAAAGGAGGCGCCGCGTTCGGAAGTGGCGGCCGCCGCGTTCCCATTGGGTCGCCCAGAACGCTCGGCCTGCGATTGGGCCGCTCTGCTCCCGCCAGCCCCGCCCCCTAGCTAGATACCTGAAGAGGATTGGCTGTGGGCATCATGATGTCATCGTCCTGCCCTCCTTCCGGGCTCCATTTTGTGTGGCGGACAATTTGGCGCGAAATTTCTGACCCGGGAGGAAACTCTTAAGGGGCGGGGTGGATGCAAAGATGGCGGAGGGGCGGGGCTTCGGTCCGGGGCGGGGCTTCGGGGCGGGGCGGGGCCCCTGAGAAGTGCTCGCTTGGCCGCTGGGCCCGCTGCTTCCTCGCGGCTCCTGGAGGGGGCGCAGCGCTCCGGCCGCCGTGTTCTCTCAGAGATTGGAGATCAGAGCCTCCCTGGTGGAGCAGGCAGTTAAGCACCGCACTACGAAGCAGTCCGCAGCCTCTGCAGCACGAGTTCGATCCCCAGGCAGGGAGTTACCCACATGGTGCGACAGACCTGTCCTGTCTCCCCGCTGCTCCCCCCAGCAGTGGATCTCAGTCAGTCTGCCTGTTCTGCTCCCCAGTCTGTCTCTGGTGAGTCATCTCACCCCCCCATGTCTGGCCTGTACCCCAGTTCTTGTCTGCATAGATGGATATATCTTTAAAAAATTAAAAAACTTAAACTCAAAACTTGGAGATTAATCTGAAATAATTTCCCATCAGATATTGTTTGGAGTCACTGCCTTAATGTCGTCACAAACTTCGGACTCAAGGATATTTTCCTAGACCCAAATGGTGATTTTTTTTCCCTAATTGTAGATTTTTCACCATACTTCACATTTATGAAATTTGGTCATCCTTAAAATTGATGAAAATTCACGACCAGATTCCCAACCCAGCATGGAAAATGGACAGTTTGGGGGAAAATCACCACACTCACCTGCAGCAATAAGGACTGAATCATTTCCCTTTCCTTTTCCATACCCACCCCCAAGACCACTGGAGGGAACTTTGTATTCTTTGCTACATTCACACAAAAATATTTACAATGAGCATATTTTCAAAGATTTATTTTCATTTGTGCATACAAGAACTGGGGTACAGACCAGAGATGCAGGGGTTGAGAGGATTCACCAGAGACAGAGTGGGGAGCAGAACAGACAGATCTACTGAAATACACTGCTGAGGGGAGCAGCGGGCCACACAGGAGAGGTCTGCCACGCCATGTGGGTAGCTCCCTGCCCGGGGATGGAACGCGTGCTGCAGCAGCTGCAGACAGCTTCATAGTACTGAGACTTTAACCTCTGCACCACCAGGGAGGCCCTATAATGAGCATTCTAAACGTGTGTTTTTGCAGTGTGTAAAAATGACATCAAATGAGTCTGAAACTGGCTTTTCTCATTAATACTTCCTGGAAGCCCCTTGGAGTGGAGACTAGATGGACGTCATTCTACTGAACAGCCACCTATTTTCCATAGTGTGACTAGAACACAAATGATTCATTTTCTTATTAATAGAATTCAAGATGGTCTGGCTCTCTCCCCTCCCTCCCTTCCTTCCTTTCATTGTCACTACAAACAAACGAGGCCCCTTTCCAAGGAAACTGGGACTGGGGTGTAAGAACTGTAACTGCTACAGCTGCCCGAGGTTTGCACACACAAGCTCACAGATGGTGGCTCCTGGTCCTCATTGCACTTTGGAGCCTCCCAGGGGCTCTGATGCCACCACGCAGACTGTTTGGCCACCGCAGGACCCTGCCAGCTGCTGAGGAAGCGAGGTGTATGCTGCTTTTCATCTTGCCAACAAGTAAAAAGGAGACTTGAAGTGATTTTTCTTAGGATCCAGACTCAGTGACCAAGCCAGGATTAGGGACAATGGGCCCACGACTCCCAGTCCCATGTACTAATTGTGCCAGGAAGGTTGTCCTCTGCTCCCCCAAATACACCGTCAGTGAGGGGCTTTCATATCCCCAGTGGGGAGGCTGTGCAGTTCATATTTTGGGGGTTTTCACAAGTTAAGGGCAGCAGAAAAGGCTTGGGGCTTAGAGCTCAATAGACCTGCTTTAAAGCCTTCCTGACTCTGAGAGAAGCAACACCTTTCATTGGTGTGCTGTGAGGAGAACAAGATACAGGTGAGGGCCTCCCTGGTAGCCTAGGGGTTAAGGCTCAGTGCTATCATCCGTATCACCTGAGTTCGATCCCCAGCCAGGGAGCTGACCCACATGGCACAACAGACCTCTCCTGTCTCCCCGCTGCTCCCTTCAGCAGTATATTTCAGTCAATCCATCTGTTCTGCTCCCCACTCTGCCTCCGGTGAATCCTCTCACACCCTGCTCCACTGGCCTACATCAGTTCTGCGCAAATATTAAAAAAAATTATATTTATAAAAAAAAAAGGTGAGGCGCCATCTTTGCACAAGACACTTGTGAGAGTCACAAGTCACAAGTCACTCTCACTAGCGAGAGTCACAGACACTGATGTCCCTCCTCTCCTAACAGGAGCTAAGGTTGCATGGTGTAAGGATTTTGCTACTTGACACAGCAGGTGAGGTGACCCCCCTGAATTCAGGTGACAGGTGACAGAACTGAGCCCCAGAGAGGTTACTAACAATCTCAAAGGCCAAGCTGCAAAGGCGGGTAGCAGGGATTTGAACCCAGGGATCTCACTCCACCCCTAGGGTTCCCTGTACATATGACATCAATTATACCCCAGAACCTGCTCATTTCAGCCCAACAGAACAATCTCTTTGTCAGTCGAGCTGAGCTTGCAAAAAGCAGGGTTTGCCACAAAGATTCATCCACCAACTGCTTAAAATTATCCCCCACATTCTCAGAACAGGCCACAACATCGGAAATCTGCTCCCACCACCCCCACCCTCACCCCTATCTCCCCACAGGGAGAAAGAGTGACAAACAGGTCAGTTTCTCAAGAGTAACAGAACCCAAGACAAACACTTCAAGGTACTGTCAGACAATGTCATTTATTATTTCACATGAAAGTTAGAGGCCAAGGCCACAGAGCTGTTAAGCCCTCCCTCCTCCCCCATAAACCCACCCCAACCCTGCTATAAAAACATAATAGGACACAACAAACTAGCACAGTTTAGGCTGAGCCGGGAACAAAAAGTGGCTCCACAAAAAAAAAAACAAGACAAAAACACAAGATATAACATCTTTGCACAATTATATAAAAGTTGCCGTGGCCAACAGGAACCTGGGCACGGCGTGTCACTGAGACCACAGAGCCGGGGCATGGGGAGGCCCAGGACAGAGGTCACTTCTGGCCAGGTCTTCTGGGCTCTACCTGCAGGAACAGGGTGCCGAGGGGCCCAGCAGGACTCTGGAAGCTCAGGTCCCAGCTAGATGTGCTCTGAGTTGGGGACCATGCCACAGGCCCCTTCTTCCTCTCCTGAGCAAGAGGGGGATAGGGAGATGGTGGGGCCCCGACAGCCTCCCAGGTCAGAGGTAAGGAAGTCAGCCAAGACAGCCTCCCTCTCCAGAGAGAGCGCCTTCTGCTGGACAGAGTTCATGGCAGGGACCAGGCCCGGCATTCAGATAGCATAGAGCCCCACGGCGACCGTGGCCACCAGAAAGCTGAGCGTGAGGACCCATCGCAGCAGAGGCGTCTGGGGGAGGAGGCTGAGCTGGGCTTTCCCTCTGGAGGTCTCCGTGGGAGTGGAGTCTGAAAGAGAAAGGGGCACAATGTCGACCACAGGTGGATCCAGGTGGGGGTGCCTAAGGTCACACGACTCTGCTCGCCAGGGAGAGAACCCCCTCCTCACACTGTGCCTCCTCCATTTTCAGCCAGCCCACAGGTTAAGAGACTGTCCCCTGGGGGTACTCCAGGGTGCCCCCTTTGAGAACTACTGCACCAGGACAAAGCCCCGTCGCTCCCCCACCAGGAGACCCATCCCTTCAGAACTGGACACACTGCAAGGCTCCCAAGAGAGGGGGCCACGGGGCATGGCCTGAGAACTCTGGGAGGCACATGAAGAGGAGACAAACACAGGACCCTGAGATGTCATGGCTGCTGAAGATCCCATTGGGGGGCACAGCCAGAAACCCTGTGTCCCACGTCAGGGGGCCTCTGCTCAGGAACCACTAAAGGGGACCTGAATCACTGGGCGAGGGCTCACTTTTGAGACAAAGAACTTAAAGTAGCTCTGCCACCCTGCATTCTGGAGCTGGGGAAGCTGAGGTTTAGAGAGCCCTGCGGCCTGCCCTGGGGGCCAAGCTGACGGTCACCTGAAGGTTGAGGCCAGGCCCCTCTGCCCCTCCTCGTTTAAAACATTCAGAAGACAGAAGCACCAAGAGACTGGAGGCAGACAGCCGGGCCCCGTCACCTCCAAAGGAGCCCAGAAGAAGCAGCCTCCAGCCGCCCCTTACCTGGCGCACTGCTGCCGGGCCGCCGGCGAAGCCCTGATGCTAGCAAAGCGCCCTGGTCCTGGCTGTCCCGAGTCAGCAGCTCCTGCAACTCTTCAAAGAGCTGAAAAACAGAAGACACGTTGTCTCAGTGACAGATGGCCCCAGGCCAAACCTTGTTTTAGGAGTGGTGTCCTCGCATATACAGGGCTTCTGCAGTCTGCTGCCTTCACTTGGCCTTCTGGGGTGAGATTCGCCCATGGCAAGGGGCGGGTCTGGGGATTCATTGGCCAGGGTTTGTGGGTACAGAGCAGTCATGTGCCCTGCCGAGGCTAGCCCAGAGGGCAGGCACAAAGGCTAGCCCTGGGGGGGGGGGGGGGGGTTCTGGCTCTGACACCACCCCCCTCCCTTCCATGACAACTGTCTGGAAGACAGATCTGCCTGCTTGGCGTGCAGGGGGTGCTGCTTCTACAGTTGCTCCCACCGGCGTCTCCTGAGCCCGCGCTGCGAATGGGGATTCAGGGGCATGAGCTAGGGCCCCCATCCCCACAGCAGCTGCTCTGGAGGCTTGGCTGGAATGAACTCGCTTACCCCTCACAGCCACTCTAAGAGCTGGGGGCTTTTAACCCTCATTTTACAGAAGAGGAAATTGAGGGGCAGAGAGAGGCAGGATCTGGCTGAGATTACCCAGCCAGTAAGTGGCAGAGCTGGAAGCCTGGCTTCCAGCACTTACCCACGACCCACAGCCCTCTCCCCTACCACACGAGAACCTCCCCGGGGGAGCGGCTGGGGAACCACAGCCACCCGAGCTGCCTGATGCTCACTTGAATGTTGAGCAGGAACGCGGTCTTGGCCTCTTCGATCACCCTGTGCCTGACCTCGGGGGTCATCTCCAGAGCGTTCATGCGGGAGCGGTAGAGCTGCTTGAACTTGGTAGCGCTCTCGATGTTGGGGAAGGTGAAGAAGGCCAGGCCCTCGCCGGAGCTGGGCAGGTCCAGGGCCTTCTGAGCGATCTTCTTGAGGACCTGGCCCCCGGACAGGTCGCCCAGGTAGCGGGTGTAGGCGTGGGCCACCAGCACCTCGGGCTCCTTGCTCCCCACCTCATGGAGTCGCCGCACGTAGCGCCTGGTGGCCTGCGTGTAGGGCACGGCCTTCTCCCAGTCCGGCCCGTACCAGAAGGCCATGTCCTGCTCCAGGGCAGCCCGGCGGTGCAGCTCTTCCGGGAAGTAGAGGGGGGTGTAGACGGGGTTGTCCTTGTTGCGCTCGATCTCCTCCTCCAGGGCCACGTAGATGTGATACAGGGAGGCCATCACCAGCTGAAAGCAGAGCAGGATGGGGTGAAGCCTCCCCTTAGGGACACCCACCTCTCCAACGACCAGAAGCACTTCCTGAGCCTGAATTCTTTCTGTCCCACTGAGTAGTGCACGTCTAACTAAATCCTTAAAAAACAATCCCGCTTTCACAGAAAAGGAAACTAAGGTTCAGATGGAGCATGAAACACTGAGGTCACACAGCCAGTAAGAAATGAATGTGGAGTCAAGCCCCCCCTGGCCAGAGGGCCCTGGATTAACTGCTCACAGGAGGTGCTGGTCACTGACCTCTGGCATCTGGCCTCTAGACGCTCCTTCCCGGAGGCCCCCCACCACCGCTGGATATGGGGTTGGGGGGACAGATCCAGTGTACTTTGCCTCAGAGAACTCCAGTTACACATTAATATTTTACTGAATTTAAAAAAGAGCAAAGTTTGCAAGTTCCAAGTGACTCTTCGGAGTTACTTCTGAGCCATTAACCTTCAGAGCAGCCCTGTATCTATCTCAGGCAAAAAACCATGGCCTGGTAGAAAGAAAACATCCTGGCTCTAGCCTCAGCTTGGCCAGGCCCCAGCTGTGTGACCCTGGGTAAGTCACTTGCCCTCTCTGGGTCTCAGTTTCCTGCCCCAGGGCAGGAGGTGACCCAAGGTCTGCGTGATGCTGTGCAGACAAGCCTCCTCCCTCCTTGCCAAAGATGACAATGACCGCAACCACACATACTAGTGGGGGTAGGGCTGGGTGTGGGGCAGGCAGGACGGCCAAGGAGAAGCAGTGGGTATTGCCAGTGCGCGGCTCTGAAATCAACACTGACAAACGCCACCTCCATCAGCATCAGTGAAAGGAGCTGTCACGGATCTTTGCCGCCACTTTGAGTTCAGACATTTAGAGGCAAGAGGCAAAGTTTACAGTGGCTGAAATGGGGTGCTCCCCTGGTTGCCTCCCAGTTCCAGCCACATCACAGCCACTGTCCCATGCCATCTTGTGGAGGGGGGCAGAGGGCAAGGAACAAGGAGTGAGGAGTGGCCCCAGCACGCACACGAGCCAAGGCCCCAGAAGCACACTGCTGGGGGCTCACTCCCCTGCCCCACACTCTGTTCAACTTGAACAAGCCCCACCTCACGGGTCACCTGTCCGGTTCTTGGTCAAGGGCTTTCCTCTATTTGCTTGAACTTCCCAACGCTGTTGGGAAACAGCCAGGCAGTGCTGGGAAGTGTGTGCCTAGGAAAACCCTTCTGTGAGCGTCATTCCACAGACAAGGAGAGGTGTTGTAGGGAGGCTGGGGACGGGCCCTCACTGAATGGTGGTGCTGGGACTTTCAGCCCAGCCTACCCTCTTGCTGAAGAGGCTCTGAAATGAACCTGCCTTGGTTTGATGTTGGCCTTTTCCATTTACTTACTGGCTGTGTGACCCTCTGTTAGATACTTAACTTCTCTGACCTCTCCCTTCATCTTCCTTATCAAGGGTGAGGCGCAGATTAGAAACCATCTGCATAAAATGCCCGGCACAGCAGGAAAGCTCAGTGGATAGCATGACCGCCCCAACACTACAGAGACCATGAGCGGATGTGCTGTATGACCTTAGAGTCATCTCCTGTCTCTGGGCCTCAATGTCATCCTCTGTAAAATGACCCCCTTAGGTCTGATGCCTGGGTACACCCACCCCTGCTAACACTCCCACCAGGGCTGGTCCCATCAGGCCACATACCTTAAAGCCCTGTCGGGTCACCTGGCCCTTCTGGAAGTTCTTCATGAACTCAGCATTCTCGGCCTGGGTGTGTACCTCCTTGGTGGCTTCCTTCAGGGCCTCTGACAAATCCTGGGGCCTGCTGCAGAGGCAGGGAGGGAGGGGGACAAGAGGTTGGCTGTGAGCTTCTGAGGGTGCTGCCAGTGTCACCTTTATCAGGCTTCTCTGCAGAAATGAAGTCCAACTCCCATCTAATACACAGACCATGGTCCCAGCTGCCTGAAGACACCGCCCCATCAGCTCTTCAGTCATTAAAATACTACGTAACATGGCCCGGCTATCTCAGTGCGGCTGGGGGGCAGCACAGCCCAGGAGAGGCAGCAGTGGGCAGGGTCTGGGCATTCATGTTCAACACCAAAATAGCTGTGGTTGGCTTTTAGACCCAGGATTTAATTCATTTATTTTGTTGCTGTTTCAGATACAATCTCATGCCCCCTTAATGTTTGCTCATCATAAAAGCGTCTCGATTCAGAAAGCTGCAAACTTCTGCTTTACTCCAAGTGCCTTTCTGGAAGTATCTCTGCCAGATGTCCGCCTGTATCCACCCACCCCCTCCACCCCCCCAATCGCTGTTATAGGACAGGGAGAAGGGCAGCCCAAACCCCGCAAACCTGCCTATTCTAAATGGGTTCTGCCATCCGCCGCATCAACACAAAACATATGAGACTTTAATGAAAAGGAACTTTAATAAAACTAGGAAACAATACAGGAAAGGCAAAGAGTCTAGTTTCTAAATGAAGCACCCCAAGTTACCCGTCCCCTCGTGGGTAAAAGTCCATCCAAATGGGATTGGCCCAGAGCAAAGCCCCAAAGCCTGCCACAAGTCTAAAGCATCTTCCAGTGGGGACCCACAGAAAAGGGTCACAAGCAACCAGACAAGCCCGGAAGGAAAAGAGCAAAATCAACATCAAGATAAAAGCTGCCATTGTCACCTCCCCATGGGTCTCACCCACATCTGTGTCACCCAGTCCACGACCAAAAGACAAGCGCAGTTTCTTCACGTGTCTCTAGGCTCCATGTGCCTCCTCCAGGTCTCCTGGCTCCATCTTGCTTCCTTCCTCAGTCTCTTCTTCTCTTCCTGCTCAGCTCCACCCTCCCTTGGGTGGGGCAGGGAACCTCCCCCTTTCCTGGGGACCACCCTGTTACATCGCCATTTCTCCTTTTTCTCCTAAGCTCCTTCCAGAAACACCACCTCCTGTTCTAGGTGCTGATCAAACTTTCGGGAGAAGGAAACTGGCCAGACTCAGAGGCACACAACCCAGGGTCCGATCCCCGCTCCCAGCTCTGATGCCGTAGGCCAGCTACTTGGGCTGCTGCCCCCCTCAACCTTAAACTGGGGGCACCAGAGCCCCCAGACTGCCATGTTCAGGTGCTGGACAGCTGGTGAGAGCGGACTGCCACAAGCGGGCTCGGGTGAGCAAAGCGCCCACTCTCACCCAGCCTGGGGCAGCCCCTGGCTACAGCAGGGTCCTTTCCAAGCACCCCTGAAAGTCCGAGGAGAAAAGTTGCCCCCAGAGTGACAGCCTTACCTACTGACCCGACCCCTTTCGGGGAGCCAGGCATGCACACCACCTCTCACCCCTCTGCCCACCCAGGCACCCGCCGGCTCGGCAGCGGCTCCTCCAGCCTCCAAAGCCCCAGGGCGCGGCTCCCCGGCCCGGCCCGGCCCGGCCCGGCCCGGCCCGCCCGCCCCGCCGGCCGTGCTCGCCTGTCCGGCTGCTGGCGCTCCATCGCGGGCTGGTGCGGCTCGCTGGGCTCGGCTCCGCTGGGCTCCGCTGGGCTGCGATGTCCCGAGGGCGGTGGTGAGGACCACGAGCTGCTGAGCCCAGCCGGGCCGGGCGGGCCTTTATCCCCGGGCCGCGTCACGTGGCCGCGCAACAGCTGATCAGCGCTTTGGGGCGCGAAGTTGCAACACCCGGCCCCGCCCGCCCGGCCCGCGCGGGCGGAGGGGAGGGTCACATGAGCCTGGAAAACAAAGCCTTTTAGCACAGGACGTTAAAAAAGAACTCTCTGGAAATCCGAGCAGCTGTGTGATGGAGCCCCCCACCCGGCCGTGGGGCTTCCAGCGCCCCAGGATTCTGGAAGTTTCCAGGTGGCTGGAAGGGAGCCTGCACAGAGCAGGAGGCTGGTGGGCAGCACCGGGGACTTACCCGCCCCAAGCTTCCTTGCAGCCTGTGCTGGGGCTCGGTCTTTAAAACGTGCCCTCAGGTGACAGCCTGTCGCTCCTCACTGGCTTTGAATGTACCCGGGTGTTTTTGGGGGTTTGGATTTTTGAGCACCTCCTGAGTGTTAGGGACTGCTGTCTTCAGGATTCATCCCCACAGCTATCCGGAGGGATAGATCACTCCCATTTTATAGACAGGGAAACTGAGGCTAGCAGGGTTGAAGGGGGGCGCAGCAATCTCCTGCACACACCCCAGGGCAAGTCTCCGTCTCTGCCTGCCTGCTCCAGGCTCTCCTGCCCTTGGTACACACCGTGGCAGCGCCAGTGTCCTGCAGGCCCCCTCCCTGCCTGCAGCAAGGGTCCTCTTCCGGGACCCCTAGGCCGGGTTTGTCTCTTGTCCCCCGCGCCGGCTCCAGGCCTGGAACCAATGGCCTTGGTCACCGACTGCTGAATTAATTCTGTGTGAGGCTGGTCCTCAGCTCTGGGGGCAAGCAGGTAGCCAGGGGGACCCGCAGGACAAAAAGACTGAATGATTCCTAAAGCCCCTTCCCGACACCACAGTTCTGGAATGGAAATTTTTGTTAAAAAGTGACTTTGGCTCATGACAAGGACGTCATCTGGAAGTGGAGGTTGTCCGTGTGCCCTCTGCGGGGCTGCTGGTACAGTCTTGAAGATGCCAGCCAAGCACGGATGCCCCACTGGGCTGGGGAGCGGAGACCTGTCTTCCCTTCCACCCTGTTTGTCCAGGGGTCCCTGTGCTTGGAAACAGGCAGGTGGTGGTCGGTCCACCCAATCGTGGCTCAGCCTTCTGGCCCCGAGCAGTTCTCCTCCAAGGTCACTTTCCTGAGCATCAGTCCCCATATCAGTCCGGCCACGGGCACATTCCTGATAGAGTAGCCTGCGCCAAGGTGGCCTGCCCTGGGAACCACCTCTGCTTCTGTGACCGATAACAACGCACTATTAGTCACTGCCCACTCATAGTCACTGCACCAGATACGATTCTGAATAGAAACAAGTACTAATTCATTTAATCCTCATAATGGTGCCACAGGTCGGTGCTAAAATTATCCCCACTTGGCAAATGAAGAAAGTGAGGCAGAGAGCTTAAGAGAGGGACTTGAACCCAGGTAGTCTGGCATAAAGACCTCAAAACTGCAAACTGTGGCGTCCTCCCAGAATGTACAGAGAGTAAATCATGCCAAAGGAAGGGAGTGATATCCCCACAGCAGACGGCACCTCCAAGATTGTCTTGGAAACACTTGTCCTCTGGACGGCGGCATTTGCTGTTTTCCAAGACTCACAGAGGTCAGAACTGGAGCTCCTCCGTGATTTCAGAAAAAATGGCCAAGAACTTTCTAGGAAGGAGGACCAGCAGAAACCAATGGCCTCATTAGAATATCTGTGTTACCTTGTAAATTCCCAGAGCCTGGAGTCAGCGAGCAGGTAGCAATCAAGACTGGCTAAACAGATGAGGGTGTGTCATGCGATCTCACTCTGGTAAACATGATAATACTGCCAGGCTGCCAGAAAGAACTGAAATCAGCTGAAAGTTGCCATCTGAACCAGCTTTATTGTGCACCTGCTGTGTGCGGAGCTGTTAAGTGGGGCCTCATGTAATCCCAATAACAGCTCTGTGAGGGATGGTCATGCTCATTTCTACTTTGTCCATGTAAACCACTGAGGCACAGAGAGGTTAGGTAGTTTTCCCAGATCCCAAACCTGTCAATTCAGGAACCCCAGAAGGTAAAGCTTATATGATCTGACCCCTGACATGGGGGTCACTGTGCCCCCAGAGGGGGTGACTTGCCCACCCTGTACCCCCAATAGAGGATTCAGTGACAGAGGGATCCTGGCTCCCAGCCCAGGTTTGCTCTTGGTGGCACTGCTTCCCCAGGAACCCCTGACTTGGCTAAAATAGCCTCCACTCCCAGACAAGCCAGCGTGGGGGTGCGGGGTGGGGGATGCTGAGCTGATGTGGTTCCCTCTGCCTCTGTGCTGGGGTTGCTCTTGCGGCCCTTCCGCATGCTGATTCAGCCTCCTGACTTCCCTTTCCTGTCCGCAAGCTGCTGGAATGGCCCCTGTGGTGTTCTTTCTCCCTCTGTGGCAGGCTGATCAATCAATGGGCTCCCAAGTGCAGCTCCCAATGTTAGGGATCTTGCAGATGTGAATTAAGTAGAGGGTCTTGCAATGGGAGCTTATCCAGGACTATCCTTGTGGGTCTAATGGAATCACATCCTTGTAACAGGGCAGTGTGGGGGCAGCTAGGCTGGGCCAGCCGGGCTTGAGCTCCGGAGGCCCAAAGCTGGAGAAGCTGGAAGCCCACCTTGACAGAGCCTGCGTGCCCAGGCCCTCATGGAGAGTCTGGGCTGTAGGGAAATGATCCCAGAAAGGAACAGGGCCACGGAAGACAAATGTGGTGGAAACGCGAAAGAAACACTGACGTTGCTGAGCCAAGCCTCTGTCTCACCCCTCCCCAGAGGCAGAAGCTTATCTCGTGAACAGATCCTGCCAGAGATGCCATCCCTATGCGTGGAAACTGGGACTGTGCTTTGTTACACTTTCTGGTGTAATTCAGCTCCTACACCTTGTATAGAGGAAGCTCCTCCTAGATTCTCTGGGTGGGCCCATTTGAATTACAGGGGCCCTTAAAGCTGGGGAGCTTTGGCGGGCTCACGGCGTGAGAGACACAGAAGTCAGAGACTTCAGAACGCAATAGTTTGCAGTGTGGAATCAGGGTCCGGTCAGGTGGACCTTGCAGGTGGGAGATGCGGGGAGGAGCCTTGTTAGGGGCGGCAGGGAAAGCCAGGTGGAGGCGCAGACCTGGCCTGGGGCAGACCTGGCCTGGACAAGCAGCATCCAGGGGCCAGTGTAGCTGCAGCATAGAGAGAGGGTGGGGGCGGGGCGGACAGCGGAGCAGGCAGAGGGAGGACAGATCCCAGGACCTGAAGGCCCAGGTGTGCAGATTGACAGGCCTTTCTCAGGAAAGGAGGGGACAGATATGGACATGCACACGGCGGAAGCCAAACTTGTTTTCTTGGGCACACGTTAATTTCCAGACTGGACACTTGGCATATATGAACTTGTCATCTCTGGTAGGGAATTTATGTGAAAGGCAAGAATTTAGGAGCATAAAGATTTTATCACAAGGAAAAGTGCCTTAGTGTCTGTGGGAGAGGCTGCAGGCTGCGATGGGGCTGAAGGCCGAGGGGAGGCCCATGCACTCTTCCCGCAGGCCCTGACTTGGCTCTGGGTTTCTCCTCCATGCATTTTGTTCGTGTTTCATTTTCTTTCATGCAGGGACCCTTTGTGAGATGGAGAGACAGGAGGGTTTGGAGCAATGAGGGGATGTGGCTTGGGTTTTCCCGGGATGGTCTCTGTGGTCACTGGGGTTAGGCTGCACACAAGAAGGCCAAGAGCAGAGGCCACCTACCTACTGCAGTGATCCAGGCCGGAGATGTTGGGGGCCTGGACAGGAAGGCCTAGAAGTGGCAGAGGACGTATCTTAAAGGCAGGGCTATCAAGCGTTTCAGAAGAGGAAGTGGATGTGGCAGGGGAGTCAAGAAGAACCGAAAGTTACTAGGTCAAGCACCTGGGGAGATGGGATTGCCAGGTTACTATGCTGGGAAGGGGGCAGCGGACACAGCTCAGTCTTGGACAAGTCAGTTTGGAGATGGAAGGGGACAGGCTTTGCAAACAATGGGCAAGAAAGGAGATAAGGGCCTCCCTGGTGGTGCAAGCTTCAGCACTGTGATGCTACCAGCAGCCTCTGGAGCTGAAGCTCCATCCCCAGCCAGGGAGGTGACCCACATGATGCAGCACCTCTCCTGTCTCCCCGCTGCTCCCCTCAGCAGTGTATTTCAGTAGATCTGTCTGTTCTGCTCCCCACTCTGTCTCTGGTGGGTCCTCTCCCCTTCTACCCCCCTCACCTCCGGCCTATACCCCAGTTCTTAATGCATAAATAAATCTTTAAAAAAAAATGAGATAAATAGGAAGGGCCTGCCCTTTTCTAGAAGTTTCATTTCTTCTTGCCTGAGGTTAAAGTTGCTCTTTCACCGAGCAGCCAGAGGCGGGCTGCGGAAGCAGCGGGTGACTCAGCATAATCTGCCTTCCCTTTGTCCCTCTGAGTCTCCCCTCCCAACCGTGACACAGCAGAAATTCAGCCTCTGGAGGAGAAAGCAGAAATCACAACTCAGCATTCGGCAGGCGCCTGGAAAATCAGTGGTTTGGGCTGCTGGCAGGCGGCCAGGGCTGAGGCTTCCGAGGTTCTAGAGTGGAAAACATAGGTGCAGGCCCCAGCTGAGGGTGAGGGAGCAGGGGAGTGTTTTGCCAGATACAGGTTGCTCCGGGAGACCACACCTGGGTCTCCTCAAGCACAGGGTATCTCAGGTAAACAAAGTTCCACCCACTCCACCCCTAGACCTAAAAGGACACACCTGTGACCCAGCAGGGCTGGCAGAGGGGACCCCAGTGGTGGCGTGAGCCTCAGTGGAGCACAGCCTTCCTCAGCAAGGCAAACAGTCCCAAACATTAAAAACCTCCTCACACTGGACCTCAAAACACCAGAGCTTTCTGGGTGTCAAGATACCCCATAAACCAGGTTGAAATCCCACACAGGCTACGTGTGACAGACGCAGATGTACACTCCAAATGGGGGGCTCTCACAC